ATTGGCGCCATAGAAACTAACTGAACTGAATTAAATTGAACTTATTAGCTAAACGTCTAAAGTAGATCTTACAAACCAACATAAACACCATGACTATAACATCTAGACGATGTTTTCTTTAATAAAGCATCCAGAGAGAATAATGCAGGGTGGAGGAGATCAGGAACAATGATGCATATATGAGGTCATCGTCTGCATAGAGCCATGAGAACCTGAGTATAGAGCGGCTCAGCGTTATCAGCCGTCAGAGTGTTGGTGAGTGTCAGGGAACATGTCGGATGGTTCAGGGGGCAGAGGAGACACTATCTACCCAGAAGGTTGTGGGTTTGATTCCAGCTTCTGCGTACAGACCTCCCTCCCAGCTGCTGGTGGGCGTGGCCAGTCTGTTCCCTTACCTGGCTGGCTGCTGTGACTAAAGCAAAGGGAAACAGTGACCGTTGTTCTCCCATGTTGCATGTAGGAGCGCTACTAGTCTCCACTGTAGGTTAACCAACATGGTGCAGATGTTGGATCAGATCCTCAGTCATGCAGGAGATAACAGACGGAATATTACATCCAGCTATAGATGATCAAAGAGATTAGAACTAGAATGTGCTTCATATGGTTGATGGCCTGTGCTTCTATAGCTCCTGATCAAGTCATTCCCCTTCCTCACCAATAGTACGATGCTTTTCACATTCTGGTGCCTGAATAGAAAAAGTTCCTCCTGGGCTTCATCCATTTAGAGCTCCAGGTCGCTTCACGGTGGCAGGAGCCCCGCCGTTCTAAATGCCGCGCCATTTAAAGTGGTGATTTTATCCAAATGAACAATTAATTCCCCAATAACTGCGCAGCAATGGTTTTAACCTTTAAATGGCAAAACCTCCGTCTCTGAGTGGGTCGCCTGCCGTCGGTCTCTTGATGCTTCAGTGAAATTCCCTCAAGCTTGTTTCACCAAGTTGTCGTAAACAGGGAGTGTCTATCTGCTGGGAACTATATCCTGTACCGCCATTCAAAATGGCCGTTCCCAGTCAAACGCACAGCACCGAATGGCAGCCCACTTCCCTGCAACTCCCAGCAGAATCCTCTCACTGAATTACAGGGTCTGACCAGCAGATGGCGCTTCTTTTTGGATCTTAATGTCCACAAATCAGGACAGAAAGAATATTTCAGATGTTTAAGAACTAATAGCCAAGGACCATCCATCATTATCAGCATGGTGATTGAACACGCAGACCTCCAAAAAGTCCGTCCTCGGTTTGGACCTTTCTGCATCCTCCGAGCTGCGCAGGTTAGCACCCAAACATCCATTCAGAGGGAGCTGGTTGTTTAAGCCTTGATCTGTCAGGGGGGTGAATAGTTTTGGGTTTGTCGATCTAAGGAGTCGGTAGTAAACCGTAGCAGTGTTCCGGATGGAAAGCTGGAGGCGAGTTTTCTGCCTGCAGCGACCATCAGACGGCAATCTGTTAGAGCTTTGCAATTAGCAGGTATGTCTTTAAGCGGGGGAGATGGGCTAACCGCCAACCCCCCTCCCTAACTGCTAACAATGCAGCAGCAGAGATGAATAACCCCTCACTGAGGAACTGCTTGGACTCAGCTTTTATTTAGCTTCTAGGTCCCTCTATCCACGCTTGCTCCCAGGTA